AGTTTGTAAATACAAGAAACTCGATTACGAGGCTTTTTAACAAAGCTTGTTTACGAGACTCTTCTACGAGGCCTAATTAAACACACCCTACGGACTTAGCAGAAAGACCCTACGGACTTATCGGAAAGACCCTACGGACTTATCGGAAAGACCCTACGGACTTATCGGAAAGACCCTACGGACTTATCGGAAAGACCCTACGGACTTATCGGAAATATCTCTTATGAGAAACAACCTCACTACTTTTCGAAAAAAACCTCACTACTTTTCGGAAAAAACTTCACTACTTTTCGGAAAAAACCTCACTACTTTTCGGAAAAAACCTCAGTAGAGAGGTGTTTACTACATTATCAGAGGTTTTTATTTCCGTGTATTTTTTAGTTACCAGAAGCAACTCGTGTCATTTCTTTGAATTGAGAACTTGCTTACTGTGTAATATGTTATCTATTTATATATGTTATCAATAAAACGTATAATAATTTTTGAATGTGATAACAACAATATAATAATAATATTATAACAAATAAGCCCTACAATTATCTTACTCCTGATATTCTGCAGTCGTCTTATTCTCTCTAAACTCAGTTTTTCGAAGGTTTCACTTCTAGCACGTGTGATCTGCCCACAATATATTTTTTTTTTTATAATAATTGTTTAATTTTGATTTAAAAATGTCACGTTATTCTTTTTATTTTGATTAGATTTTAGATATTTAATTTCTTTCTTATTTTAATAGTAAAAATTTTTAATATTTTTCAATTTTATCTAAAACTTTAGTTGAATCGCGCACGAAAGTAAGCACGGTGATACTTTAAATTTATGATAAGAAGTTACTTTTGTAACATCAAAAATATATAATATATTATTTGTAACGCGGAAAGAGAAAGAGAAAGAGAAAGAGAAAGAGAAAGAGAAAGATAAAGATAAAGAGAGATCTCTTTTCTTTTAGAAGAATTTACCATCTGTCGAAGTTCGCTTACGAAGCAGATTCAATGTCGATAAATCGCATTGATCGTCGACACACACTCGTGTCATGAATTTTAATTTTGTTCGATGCTACGAAATCCGATATCGACGTATACACACACATGAACGGCATATATAACAATTATTTTTTTTTTCTTTTTTATTCTTTCCTATCCCTTTTACTTTTATTTTCTATTTTTTCTTCCCTTTTCTTTTTTTTTTTTTTTCTTTTTTATATATTGAATAGAAGTAAGAATACATTATAATATATAGGGTATCGTGAAAAATCGAGGACGAGAGTATAGTAAAGAATGACGCAGCAAATATTTAGGCCATCTTCATGAATTTTAATATCCTCCCTAAGTAACCCTTTTCGGATCCTGTTCAGGACCCGCTATTAGGTCGATTCAAACGTAACATCGAACATCCTTGGTCCCAACTTGGTCATCGTCGTTTATTCATTCCTTCTTTCGTTCGTTCGTTCATTCGTTCGTTCATTCGTTCGCGTATTTTAATGTCTACTGGAATAAAAGAAGGGTTCCCTTTTTTTTTTTTACAAGTCAAGTTACACACATAAGTAACATATATGTGCATCAACACGCATAAACGCATATACGTGTAGACACTTACGTGGCGCCTTTATGTCTCCATGCAGATGCTTCCTGCTTTGCGAATCGAAATGACTCGCCAAAAAGAAGGAAATAAACGAATGTTGTTACGTTATAGAAAGTAAGAAAGAGAAAGAAATAGAAATAGGAGTGAGATATAACCAAAAAAATAATAATAATAATAAAAGAAAAGAAAAGTAAAGGGTAGCATCAAAATTTGATTGTATATAAACGGTCGAAACGCGACTAGATGTCATTTGAAAATTTTCTTTGACTTTTTTTCTTCGTCTTTTTATGACGGTTATATCAAACTTTATTAGCGCTAAGTCATCCTGAGAAAAGTGACAGAGAGATTTAATTTTAATGGTAGGCAAGAGTTTCGTTACTAAACCTTTCCTTTCCTTTCCTTTCCTTTAACGTCAATGATCGATTGGTTGTAAAAAAAAAAAATTTAATAAAAGGGTTCTTCTCATATTTTCTTCGATGTTTAGTCATGCAGAATGTGTTCATGGTGGATGATGATAATGACGACGACGATGACAATGACGATACTTTGTATCGTTTACGATTCTACATTGTCAAAGTATCTCTCTCGTATTAAAACGCGTTCGCTTTGAGATTTGTTACTCGTCGTTAAAAGATCATCCCTTTTTTTTTTTTTTTTTATTTTATTTCTCTTTACGTGTTATAAATTCTTTTTTTTATTATTCTATATATATATATATTTTTTTTTATATTATTCTATATTTTAGTATTATATTATATTAGTATATTAGTATTATATTATCCTATATTTTAGTATTATATTATATTAATATTTTAAAGTATTATATTACATCCTATATTTATATTATCTTATATAGATTATATGTAAAATTATATATTGATATTATCCTATTCTTTAAAGTAAAATAACTCGAAAGATTTATTATACTTTAATATATCATTTGTAAGAATTTATATATATATATATATATTTTTTTTTGTTTGATCTTGTTTACGATTCCTTCCGATTTCGAACGTACGATTTATTTTTAATAAATTTATGTAGAAAGAGATAAAAGAAGACGAATTCTGTTCAAAAGTTGTCCAAGGTGTGAGAGTAAGTTTCAATCGAATGGTTTAAAGATTCAAGAATTCGTTAATTTATTACCATTTATACACGAACACATAATGCACACACATACTCAGAAATGTTTGGTAGGAGAGGTAAGACAGAAAATAAAATAAAATATAAAAACAGGTACTAATTCATGAGAATATCGATTACGCTGTTGGGTGTCGATAACTATAGTCGATTTTGGTCGTCATTAATCAAGTCCCTTGTCTCATGGAAATTCGCATTTATTCCGATCCCGTTTTGCACACCATAAAGTTGTCGAAGAGGTGAGAATTAAGCCGTGCACACCGATCTTATAAATTTCAACGGGTTTTATTTGTTGTTGTTGTTGTTGTTTTTTTTCTTCTTCTTCTTCTTCTTCTCTTTTTTCTTAAGAGCGAGTATCGAAATGACGTAATCTATGTCGTCTTTCATAAATTGCCTTTTAACAAAGCATCTACTAACCAATACACATTCATGGTTTATATACGTAAAACGTGAAATAAAAGCAAAAGAAAGGTACAACTTCACCTGCCCGTTTGCTGAGAAAACGAGAGCGAAACTTTAACCATAATTTAATAACCGATTCTCCTCTCTTGCCTTTAGTTTCGAGCGGCTTCTCTCTTTTTTTTTTTACCAAAGAGAAAGAGAGAGAGAGAGAGAGAGAAAGAAGAAGCAAAGTTAAGAACGCGAGTTCGACGAGTCTAAAACCCGAAACAGTTTCTTTTTCTTTAATCTTTTTGTTCTCTCTCATTCTCTCTCTCTCTCTCTCTCTCTCTCTCTCTCTCTTTCTCTCTTTCTGAACATAAATAAGCGAGCAGAATTACAATAATCCGATCCAATTAAAGGCAAAATTTATAGTCGCAGAAAAAGCGCGTAGACGCTCAGGGCTGAGCCGTGTAAAAGATTTGCATTTGGAAATTTGCAAGCGTAATTTTGAATTTGCTTAATAGCCTCGACGAAGGAAGGAAGGAAGGAAGGAAGGAAGGAAGGAACGAACGAACGCTTCGAGCTTAGCATAGGTACCTAATAGAATCCATTTTCATATTTCGAGAGTTAAACCCTCTCTCTCTCTCTCTCTCTTCTTTTCTTTACACGTGTGTATATACCAGCTTTCTTATACACAAAAGTCGACTTTGAACGCTGCCGCGTATGCCATCGTAAATTTCCTTCACTCGATTTCCATTCAGTTTTATCTTACCTAACCATATGTATATGTATGTGTATTCTTTCATACTGCTTTCACTTATCTTTTTTCGTAAAGATACTAGTTTTGTCATTGATAATTATTTATCTGAATTTGTTGGTATTCTGTACACGTTTAAAGGTAAAAATCAAATGTTCATTTATCTTCGAATTTGAGATTTCTTTTTAACTTGGAAAAACAATCGAATTATATAATTAATATATATATATATATATATATTATATATAAATTTGTAATATATATTAGTATAATAATATAAATAACTCTATCTATTATAATTATAATTATATATTAATTATAATATTATAATAATAATTAATAATTAATATATTTAATAAATATAATTGATACGTACACATTCCATGTTATATTTATCGTATAATCGAATACAATTTGGACATAGTTGTTACATTAATCATCGTTACAAAAGGGATATCATCAAGCTTTGAATGATCTAGTCAATGTATTCCCTTAAAAGTGGTTCTTATGCTTTTACTTTGAAATTCTCGAGGGACATCGAATATAAGCAAGGAGAACTTGCTGAAGTGTCTTGACCATAACAGCAACTTACTGACAAGTAGTTATACTCAGCAAGAAATTCTTCTCAAGAGATTCGAATCTTGATCTAAAAAAGAAAAAAAAAAGAGAGAGAAATAGGATGGGTGGAGGGGGTGGAAAGGGAGAAGAGAGAAAAAGAATGAAGCAATAAATTTACCACGACGACCCAATAGCCGTGAAACTCGCTTTTCTCCGCGTGTAAGAGAATGAAATATAACAAGCTATATATATTTTTTCGAAAGATATATGAACTTATGTGAAAAATGATTGATGAAAAAAAGAAAACAAAATAATCCTCGATTATCGTTAATACGATCGAACTTTTATTTCATAGCGTTTTTTTTTTTTTATTATTTTTCTGTTTTTTTTTATTCTTTTTTATTATTACAATGAATTAATATTTTTGTTCTTTTTTAGTGGTTCCTTTTACATTTTTTATATTTTTGTTTAAAAGAAAAATATATTTACTTTATTAAGCAAAAGTAACAATGAATTTTAATTTGAAGAATAATTATTCAGAAATGAATTTTCGTCGATTTTTAATTTAGAGCGCGAAATATTTAAAAAAAATTTGAATTGTCCCTCTGACGGACAAATGCGTAAGCTATTGATTGATTCACGTAACTCACGTGGTAAATAGTTATCGATCGTATTATTAGGAACCTGTAATATCGACATAAAAGTCGATAAAAATGTTTAAAAAACAATATGGCAGTTCGTAAGAGAGAAGACAGGTGACAAGTGATATCATTGACACACGTGTGTTTCTATAGAAATTATTGAGATAAAAGTAAAATTATTTATACAATGGATAATGACACAATGCCTCCAGATGAAAATTTTGAATTATTAATCAAAATTATTGTCACAATTGTTGTGGCATTAATAATGACTATAGGTAATTAAAGTAATCAAATTTATAGGTTAGCTCACGCATATGTCTCTTTACATAGAATTTCATTTTTGATTTGGTTTTCTATTATGATGTAATAAAATTTATGATTGTTTATTTTGATTTATTAGTTTTATGTAAAAATGTTACCAAAAGTGATTAAATATTATACATATCGTCATATCCAATTTTATTGCGTGCTTAGATAGAAACACACATGTCTATTTAAATACTTCAATTTTATTTTGTCAATCTAGTTAAATCATGTCATTAGAAAAAATAAATTGTTTTATATCGTTAATAATTACACACACTTTTGGTAACAGAAAAATTCTATTACATATATATTTTACTTGATTTTTTTGTATAATAATTAAACAAGTTTAACATATACACCATTAGTAAGATGCAATTTAACAAACACATAATATAAAACATTCTATTGTGAATCGCATAATAAAAAAATAGAAACATTTTGATTTGTTTATATATCTAATTGTTTTTTGATAATTTTTTGTTTCCTTTTTGTCGTATTTATTAAAACTTGTTATAAATGTTGTATTTGTCAATAGTACTGATAGCTAAATGGCGTAAAAAAAAATTTATCGGTCAGACTATATTATTGACTGGACTTAGCGATGCTGGAAAAACTTTGATACATTCGCGTTTGGTTCATTCCAAATTTGTTGATACTTATACATCTGTTAAAGAAAATATAGGAGAGATGATAATCAATAATGTAAGTCTACGAATAATATTAATAACGTATTTATCGATTAATGAAATAACAATATCTATATCAAAAAGCAGTTTCAAACTTAGATTATTAATAATAAATTTAATAAACTATTCGTTTAGAAAAATTTAAGGATCGTTGCTCTACCAGGAGATGAACGATTACGTTATGAATTCTTTGACAAATATAAATTAGCTGCTAAAGCAATTATTTTTGTCATTGATTCTGTTACGTTTCAAAAGAATATTCGTGATGTAGCGGAGTAAGTATTAAAAGTACAAATGTATGTATCCAAATATATTTCTAATATTTCATCAAATAATTTCTAAATGAAATTTGTTTTAGGTATTTATACAACTTATTGTCAGATATAGATGAAGTCAGAGGATTACCGATATTAATATTGTGCAATAAACAGGATCAAACAATGGCTAAGGGTAGTTCCGTAATCAAATCATTATTGGAAAAAGAAATGAATCTTTTAAAACTAACTAAACCTAATCAATTAGAAACTATGGATGCTTCATTTAAAAACACCCTTCTTGGAAAACATAGCAAAGACTTTCAATTTCATCAACTCAATTCGAAAGTTTCATTTGCCGAATCGAGTGCCTTTATTAAAGATTCTGAAACACCGCCACACTTAACAGCATTACAAGAATGGCTAGAAAGTGTTGCGTGAATGTCTCTCTCTCTCTCTCTCTTTCTCTCTCTCTTTGTTTTTTTCTCTCTTTCTTCCTCTTATCCCTAATTTTTTAATATATAAATTATTTGTTTGTAACTGCTTTTTCCTCTTTTTTTTTTTTTTTTT